TGCTCTAATGAGGTACCTCCTGGGTCACTTTGCTTATCTAGTGCTATCTCTACCTCATCACTAAGTCACTTCAACCCAAACCCCTCTGTCATTTTCTGTCTCTTGTTCTTCCTTCTCTAATCTCTGTTTCTTGTCCCACTTTTACTCCTATTCCTTACACCCTTCATGTACTCATTTAATTAATTTATTGGAACACTTACCTTATATGAGAACCTGTGTTGGCAATTTTAGGAGATGCAGTAATAAATAAGATAAATAAGGCAAGTTTTTTATTTTATTTTTTTGAGACAGAATCTGGCTTTTGTTGCCCAGGCTGGAGTGCAATGGCTTGGCTCACTGCAACCTCTGCCTCCCAGGTTCAAGTGATTCTCCTGCCTCAGCCTCCCAAGCAGCTGGGATTATAGGCATGTGCCACCATGGCTGACTAATTTTTGTATATTTAGTAGAGGTGGTGTTTCACCATGTTGGCCAGGCTGGTCTCGAACTCCTGACCTCGTGATCTGCCTGCCTTGGCCTCCCAAAGTGCTGGGACCACAGGCGTGACCCACCATGTCCAGCCCCAAGGCAGTTATTATTTTTTTATTATTTAAAAAAAATAGCTGGGTTCGGTGCTCATGCCTGTAATCCCAGCACTTTGGGAGGCCGAGGCAGGCAGATCACCTGAGGTCAGGTGTTCAAGACCAGCCTGGCCAACATGATAAAACCCTGTCTCTACTAATAATACAAAAATTAGCTGGGCATGGTGGCAGGCACCTGTAATCCCAGCTACTCGTGAGGCTGAGGCAGGAGAATTGTTTGAACCCGGGAGGCGGAGACTGCGGTGAGCCAAGATGACACCACTGTACTCCAGTCTGGGTGACAAGAGTGAAACTGTCTCCAAAACATTAAAAAAAAAAAAAAAAAAAAAGCCAGGCGTGGAGGCTTATGCCTATAATCCCAGCACTTTGGGAGGCTGAGGTGGGCGGATCATGAGGTCAGGAGTTTGAGACCAGTATGACCAATCTGGTGAAACTCTGTCTCTACTAAAAATACAAAAATTAGCAAGTGTGGTGGTGTGTGTCTGTAGTCCCAGCTACTTAGGAGACTGAGGCAGAAGAATCGCTTGAACCAGGGAGGCGGAGGTTGCAGTGAGCCAAGATTGCGCCACTGCACTCGAGCCTGAGTGACAGGGCGAGTCTCCGTTTCAAAAAAAAAAAAATAGAGGTGAGATCTTACTATGCTGCCCAGGCCAGTTTCGAACTCCTGGCCTCCTCATCCTCCTGTCTCAGCCTCCTAAACTGCTGGGGTGAGAGGCGTGAGCCACTGTGCCTGGCCTAAGGCAGCCCTTGGCTCCCCTTTATCCATCCTATCCTGGGTTTTACTTGGGTCTCTTACCCTAGAGAGCATCCAGGGATGGCTTTCAGGAGGTGAGGTCTTAGTCCCAGTACTGTCCTCAGGTGGTATCACATTGGGCAAGGTACTTCCCCTTCCCAGGCCTCAGCTTCCCTGCTGTAAGTGGGGACGATACTTCCTGCTATGTCTCTCTCTTAGGCTGCTGTGAGAATGGAGGGAAAGTCCTTTGGAAAGTTCTGCCCTTTCCTGCTAGCTGTGCAGTGGGGGCTTTTCATTCTCCTATCCTTCCACCACCCCGGTCACAACCTCCTTAGCCCTCTATTTTAACATCTGTGTTAGTTTCCCCACCTAATGGTCATCTTGGGATCCAGTCTAGCTTGACACACAGGGACCTTTAGGGGGGAGGGATGGACAAACTGGGCTGGTGGCATTCCAGGACCCTCACTAGTCCCTGCCTCCAGCCTCCACTTCATGTATTCTTAGAACTTCCTGTGCATATACTTCATTACCTGAGAGCCTTTGTGTGGACTGCAGCCCTACCTGAAATACCCTCCCTGCTCCTCTCCACGTGTGTGAAACCACCCACTTTGGTGGCACAGCTTAATGCTACTTCTTCCAAGGAGTCCTCCCTGAACACAACAGCTGTAGCTTTCCTGACCTCTGTTTTCTGGGCTTTGGAAGCCCTGTTAGCACCATTCGCAGCGGCACTGAATGAAGACAAGTGTCCTGGGAGTGCCTTGTCCCCCTCTCTCTGCCTTCTCCCTGCTGCGATCATAAGCTTGAGAGCCACAACAGTGCTCTGGGCAGGAGCACCTAGTAGATATTCAGATGTGATGTATTCTACTGAACGTCATCTCCAAGTCTCTCCAGCTGCTTTTCTAGTTGTCTCTGTTCTCTCTCTTCCCTCAGACAGACCAGGGCTCCCCTGGGGTGGGGGTTATACCTCTCCCATAAGACTAGGCCCCTCTGAAGTGGCTGTTCTCTGCCATTAGAATGAAATCCCCTCAGGGGGGATTCTGTGACTCCCTATCAAACTAGATGTTCCAAAAGAATAGAGACCAGGCCCCATCCCTCTTTCTGTGGCTTCCAGTTTCTCAGAACACCCACCGTAGGCCCACCCATGCTCTGGTGGAAGAACAGACATGGGGCACCAGGGGAAGAGGGAAGTATGAGAAACTAACCTTAAATTCAGGCTCCTTGTGTGCCAGGCGCCTGAGCTCATGGCTCAGCTGGAAGGCAGCCAGCATGGCATCCTCACTGGCCAGTGAGAGGTGGGCCCTGCTGACGATGCCACGGTAGGTGTTGATGCGGGACAATGAGAACTTCAGCAGGTCGTAGCGGCGGGCGTTGCTGCACTCGAGGCAGGCACAGGAGACTGGGTGGGGCCGGGCAATGGTGTGACCCTGGTCCATGAGCAGCTGCGCTATCTCATACAAGTCCTTCTGGCAGGCCAGGGTGAGGGGAGTGACACCAGGTGCAAAGCGGGAGCCATCGATAGATGAGTCAAAGAAAGCCAGTGAGAAAGATCTGGTGTCTACTTTGCGACCCTTCTCCCGTTCCAGCCGGGCCAGCAGGTGACGCACCACTGCCGGCTGGTTTGTGTCCACTGCCACTAGCAGGGCCTCATGGATCTGGCGGAAGTCAAACTTGACACTGGCCAACAGCACATCGGTGATGGCCTCATGGCCCAGGCGGATGGCCAGGTTGAGTGCTTCCCTCCAGGAGCGGTCCTCGGCCTCTTCCACATTCCGCAGGGGCCCGCCTGGTCCACTGCTTGTGGCCTCAACCCCTGACTCCAGCAGCTGCTGCACGAGGCCCAGTCGGCCCTCCTGGATGGCACCCAGGAGTGGAGGTGGGAAACTGAGCTTCCTGTTCACGATCTCAGTCCAGTTAGGCTGTTGGCAGATGAAGGAGTAGAGATGCTGCGACCCTGAGTTCCAACTCCCTTTGTTTTGGGACCTTTTTCACCTTCCCATGTTCTAGCTCTTAACCCTCTATATGTAGCCACCATTATATTCTTCCTTGTCCCAAACACACTGACAAATATTGTCTTATTCATTTTACTGTGTAGCTTCTCAGGTTAGGAAAATCTACATTGTGTGCAGCGGGGGCTTTTTTTTTTTTTTTTTTTTTTCTTTGAGATGGAGTTTCGCTCTTGTTACCCAGGCTGGAGTGCAATGGCGCGATCTCGGCTCACCGCAACCTCCGCCTCCTGGGTTCAGGCAATTCTCCTGCCTCAGCCTCCTGAGTAGCCGGGACTACAGGCACGTGCCACCATGCCCAGCTAATTTTTTGTATTTTTAGTAGAGACAGGGTTTCACCGTGTTGACCAGGATGGTCTCAATCTCTTGACCTCATGATCCACCCGCCTCGGCCTCCCAAAGTGCTGGGATTACAGGCGTGAGCCACTGCAGCGGGGGCTTTTAATTCTCCCCCCACTGGGGACAGACTACGGGCCACTTTCTCAGCTCGACTTCCACCCTCACAGGAGCCCTCCCCACAGCAGGGCTACCTGTGGGTACCTTGAGCAAGGGTAGGTTAAAGCAGGGGTGGGCGGCCCTGGGAGCCTAACCCCACATACAGGTGCACGGGATCTGTTTGGACCCAGCTCCCCTCTTGTTGACTTCATCTCCCAGCTGCTCTTCCCTCTCAAAGTCTCAGGGCCTCTCCCAAGGGCAGGCCCAGACATGTCCACACAGGAGGGTCTTTGTACTGGGCTTTTGCCAAGCCCCTCAGCTCTGACCAGGGCCCTGGCAGGATCCCAATATGCTCTTTCTTCACCAATCCTCCTGCTTTGTCCTCCCCTGCTTTGGGGGGGGGGTATTTCTCCCCCTTGGCACTGCCTTGTCCCTCTCTTCTACCAGCCCCAGCCCCGTCCTCATTGCTCTTCTCTTCTGGGTCCAGGCTCAGGGTTCCAGGGGCTCTTCTCCCACCCACATAGTGGTGTCCGCCACCTGCCTGGCAGCTAGGATGCCCCTGCAGTGCCTCTGGGCCAATCTTTTGTTTCATTCATGGGTAGAAATGAGACCAGGATGGGAGAAGGTAGGGGAGCAGGCTTCTTACCGTGATGGGGTCCATGGCCGTGCCCACCTATGCTGGCACCTGTGCTGGCAGGGACCGAGGGACTGAACTCCTGCTCAGTCTTCTCCCTGACTGTGCCTAGCACCCTCTTTCCTATCCATTCAGAACCCCGCCCTGGGCCCTCCCTTTGCAGGACCAGCTGCTCCCCCTCTGCCCTGTACCCTGGGGAACTGGTGTTAGTGCCACACAGTGAAATCTTCTGGGAAAGGGGAGAGAAGACATATTTGCTCAAAGACAGTGGGAGCAGAATTTGGAATATCACAGCTTGAGGGAAACTTCAACACCCTCTGGTCCAACCACCTCCTTGTGTAGATGAGGAATGGGATCTGCCCAAGGTTCCACAGCCAGGCCTAGAACTACTCCTTAGTCATTAACCCATCTGGTCCCTATCATAGCTCTGTGACCAGAAGGATGGGAACATTTTTTCTCTCAGGTAATTCTGGATGCTAACAGAAATAACTTGCTTGGTGTCACACAGCATCACCATTATCTGATTATACCCAGGACAGGAGCCCACAAAGGAGACTGAGAGCTCGGTTCACGGAATGCTAGATGTCAGCCTCATGCTCAAAACTCACATGCACATTCCCAGCATACCACAGGATTTTATTTGTCAGGCAGCATTTGCTCTTCACTGGGCCTACAGTTTTCCTTTCAGGAAAATGGGCATGAGAATGTGCACCACTCACAGAGAGAAAGACATTCTAGATGGTGTCCCAAGGCCCAAAAGTTCCAAGGAGACTTCCAAGGGGGAAAAGAACAGAGCTGGCCTTAGGAGAATCAGGTGCCATGGTCACAGAAGCCTTGACAACTGGGAATGGGGATCAGGTTAGGCACAGAGGTGTTCTCAGGCAGAGTCCTGAGGGAAGGAGAGGAGGGGAGAGAGAGGGAGCTTTGGCCTTATCAGCCCTTCTCAGCTGTCAAGTGATTTAGTCTCAATCTTAGTCATAGAGTCATAGGAAGTCCCCACACACGCTGGCATGCTCTTCTACTTCTCTTGCTGAGAAATGCAACTGGCAGATAGGGCACTGAACCCAGGAGATAGGGGGTGAATTCTCTGGGGAGGATACCCACAGTACAGACTGGGACGATGATGATGAGGATGAGGGAGAAGCTGAGTGAGGTGGGGAGGTCTCTCCGCAAGTGGCAGCGTGCCAGGGAAGAATCTCAATCCTGAAGGAGCCTGTGGGGGAGAGAAGGAGGTGAACAAAACTGGGCCTGCTCCCAGGCGGGATGCCACCCCCCAAAGTCTGGATAAGCTATGAAGACAAATAACATTGATTCACAGCAGACGGTGAGAAGGGCTAAGTCCAAGGGAATCAGAGAATCCTGCAGAAGCTCAGTTGGGAGAGATCATGTGGGCAGATAAGAGAACATGTGGCAAAGAAGGGCCATTTGAAAAAGACTGAAAGAGTAAGCAGCATTTGGACATGCAGGAAAAAGTTACGGAGGAAATTCTAGCCCCTGTCCGATAGCGTTTTACGTTGTTCGTTTTCATGCTTCTCCTGAGGGCAGGGCCCACGTCCCTTCCTCAGCTTAGCTGGCACAGTATGAACAGGTGCTCAGTACAGACTTGTCTTGAATTACACTTGACTACAAATACAGTTCCACACCTGGGAGCTGCAGAGATGTTGGAAGCCAGCACTCCAAATTCGAATGTTTCTTGGCAGTATCCCCAGATCTCCTATTCCCCGCTCAAGGAATGCCTAGTTGTCATACAACAGCTCCCAAGCATCTTACCTGCACAAATGGGGCACTGTCTGCTATCCTGGCCACTACTGCTTTGGGCCTGCGGTTGGTGTTGTTTTCTTTGCCCTGCTCTTGCTGTCTCCTTCCTGTTTGGCCGAGAATTAGAGTTGGATAAAGGCCTGTGAGAAAGAACAGTTAAAAAGAGGTATTAGTAAGAGGCCATAAGGGCTGAAGGAGCCTGGAATCAGAGCAAAAATAATGTAGAAAAGTTAATGTAGACCTAGAAACTCTGGGTTGGGGTCCTGGTTTTCCCACCTGATATACCAGACTTGAGGGAAGACTTTAATCTTTGAATACCTGAGAACATAGATTCTTTTACTGCCCTTGGCTTATTATTATTTAATTGAAATATAATACACATACCATAAAACTCACCCTTTAAAAATATAAATTCAAGGCCAGGCGTGATGGCTCACCCCTATAATCCCAGCACTTTGGGAGGCCAAGGAAGGTGGATCACCTGAGGTCAGGAGTTCGAGACAAGCTTGGCCAACGTGGTGAAACCCTGTCTCTACTAAAAATACAAAAATGACCTGGGCGTGGTGGTATGCACCTGTAGTCCCAGCTTGGGAGGCTGAGGCAAGAGAATTCTTTGAATCCAGGAGGCAGAGGTTGCAGTGAGCCAAGATCATGCCACTGCACTATATATATATATATACACAAAACAAACAAAAAAATACAAAAACAAAAAGAAAAAATATATATATATACACACACACAAACAATTGTTTTAGTGTATTGACAGGGTTGTGTAACCACAACCACTGGCTCATGCCTGTAATCCCAGAATTTTGAGAGTCCAAGGTGGACGGATCACCGGAGATCAGGAGTTCACCACCGCCCTGGCCAACATGGCAAAACCCCATCTCTACTAAAAACACAGAAATTAACTGAGTGTGGTGGTGCATACCTGTAATCCCAGCTACTTGGGTGGCTGAGGCAGGAGAATGGCTTG